GTTTTTCACTGAATTGTAGACACATCTGTGCTCTTCCTGACAGTAGAACTGTGGAAGCAAATGGATTCACAGAAGATGCACAGTGAGCTGCAGAGTGACACGAGTGCCAACCAACAGCCACGTTGACTCCTATGTAAACATTATTAGGCAGGTGGTCATAATGTTATGGCTGATCGGTGTTCTTCCATTATTGGTGAATGCAAGGAGCAGCTCAATGCAGCAGAGTCCAGACTATTGCAAGTTAAACTGGGTTTATGTGCAACTGTATGGTAATTCAGAACAAAACAACAGTGATTTCCAAGATATGAAGGAGACAAAGACACCTGCACATAATCAGAAACCTGCTACAATCAGTCATGTAAACAGAGAGCTGAATAACCAAGTTTCAATCGGTTCCATGTGAGGGTTGTAACATGAACAGGATTAACTGTTGTAATACTTGTGTTGCCATCGATGTCTGTTTAAAAGTCTTTGAATCACTAGGATGTTGTTTTCATTCAGTTGATGCAGTTATTATTTTTGGCAGGTTTTCCCCAGTGTGCTGCCTGCCAGACAGTGTCTGTAGTCTGCCATCACAAGACAGGGTATAGATTTGCATGAAAACATAATTGGCAGATGACCTTCGACTGTATCTGTTGTGCAATGCAAGCATTCATCAGCACTGCAAAGAATGTTTTTTCCCAGATGAGTGCTGTCTCTAGTGTAACTGAGGTGTAAATCCATAGCAGAACAACTACAGACATGCTGCCAGGATTCAAAATGCCTTTCTGGGGTTTTGAAAAACTAGCGATGATGATGATGATGATGGTCACATGTTCTTGTGTCTAACTGTGGGACTTTTCCCATGTTTTTATACATTCTTACTTCAGTGTTGGCAGAGTTCAGAGTTGTGGTTAGCATAACTTTTATGACTGCTGGCCTTCATTCTGGTTATAGTTAGCACTGTGTTTTAGATCTCATTCCTACAGTACAGAGCTTTGGCGTTATCCGAAAGAAGAATTACATTTTACTACCAAATGCTAGTGGAAAACTTGATCATGGTTTCACAGATCTAAATAGTCTTTTTGGTTGTAAACATGCCATGAAACAAGTCACAGCCTTTTATTTTAACCCTTAAATGACAATGCAGCTACAGCCAGAGTACTTTAAACTACGATTGGAAGTCTGTGCTTATTTGCAGCTACTGCAGTCTAGTTTCAAACCTGTAAATCATTGCTAACATTTGTTCAGTGAACCAAATAGTTCTGGATTTGCACAACTGAGCCAATCAGAGCTGCGTAGGCAGGGTTAGGAATGACAATAACATCTTCCTGTAACAGAGCCAGAAAAATGTCTGTTAACATTGTTTTGAAAATGGCAACAAGTGCGGATGAGATTCACTAACTGCACTGCTGTTTAGGTTGTGGTAAGTCAGTTTACAGAAAGAACAACTTCTAAATCTGCATACTATATTGGTAGGTCTCTCTTCAGTGTGTCATTGTACTAGTGCCTCTGCACTCTCTGGCCTTTCACCACCATACCCAGACTCTAATGTTCTGCTTGCCTTCATCCCTCAGTCTCATAAAAGAACAGAAAAGTAGCCAAGGTAACAGAACCAGGCTATAAGTCCCAGAAAATGAAAAAGGAAAACATAACCCAGCTCACTGATTGGACCAGCATAAACTAGGAACAGATCCTTGGGGATTCCTAAAGTCAAAGTTAGTGTAGGTCAACTTAATAGCTGGAATCACTGTGCTTTCCAGCTGATCTCCATGTTTGTCTGGCTAACCCTGGGCTTTCATTCTCACAGGATATCCTGGCTCCAGAAGGGGAACCTACAGCCAAGGTACTGTAGACCCACGATTATACCAGTTTGTACCTTTAGCTCTTTTTATGCAGGAAGGTCAACAGAGCAGGCTGTAGTTTTCCAGTAATATCCGATTCACTGTTGCACAAGTCACACCCACAGACAGTCTTTTGATGTTATACTTGGCAGTCGACCGGTGCAACTGTAGTGAGGGTGAATATTGGAGGTGGACAGAAGAAAATTCCAATGGGATGAAAATGTTGCTCTGTTCCTGCTTAATGTGTTTGCTCAATTTTTGACTGAAATTACTTTAAAAGTGATCCCTGTTTCAAATGTTGTTTTCAACCCAAGAGGTCAACAAATCAATACAAAAAGAAAGCCAGTCTCCTGTCTGGCATAAAATATTTATACTTGCTATGCTGACATAATTTTACACCATTTGTTTTTAGCTAATGCTAACAGCATGGCTCAAACAATGGCAGTGTAGCTCAGTCTGCCGCTGTGGTTCTCACAGAAATACAGTGCTGAATGGATTGCAATAAAATGTAGTGCACATATTTATGGTCCCCAAAGCAAGAATCTAAATGTCCCTGCAAGGGGCTGCTTTGGCCATCAGGAGCAACTTGGGGTTCAGTGTCTTGCCCAAGGGCACTTTGACATATGGACTGGGAAGAACGGGAATCAAACCGCTGACCTTACAGTTGGGGGACGTCCACTGTACCTCCTTCACAGGGGCGGCTGTGCCTGCTCAGTGGGCACAAGCTCTGAGGCTCAAAGTTTTATCCTTCTGAATGCTGTTACTGGCCAAGTTGAAATGAGAGTACTATAAAATGAGTTACTTCAGCTTTTATTAGGTAAAATGAAGCTATTCAGACAGATCTCGAGAAAATAGTGTACATAGTAGACACAGCTAAACTAGATTCTCAAAAACTAACACCAGTACTCAAATAATGTCTGAGTTGGTGGTGGACCAGTTAAAGGCTGGTAGTTAAGGCCAGGTAAAAACAGTATTTTGGAAAAGTACAATATTGACTCAGTTGATACATTTACAGTAGTGTAATATCAGTTTCTACTGCACTAAGTCCCTCAGCACAACAAAAGACTTTTCACCCCTCTTTCTCTCTTTATTTCCATAGAAATACTCTCTTATCAAAAACTTTACTTTCAGATTAAGAGCCTAGCAGAATACAGGGTTTAGTCACTTGAGGGTGGCTTTTAATGTGAAATATCTGGGCAGGAATTGTTGAGTTTTACAGTGATTGCCGTTGTAAACAATTAGTGAATGAAAAGAGTAGGTCTAAAGAGAAAGAGGTGGTGTTTGAGGCACGGCGCTCTTGTACTGATCAAATTAGTGCTGTGGAAATGTAGATTATATACTCAATTTCCCAAGTCAGCAGTTAAATGTTCAGAAAGTGTTGGGTTTGCAACACAGTCTTCATCAAATAGGAGTATAGAAATACAGACCTGTCTCTAATATGAGCTGCTTTCAAATAAGGGACTGTGTTAAAACTGGTAAATAAAATTAGTAGGAATAGAGCACATAAAGAGAAAATCTTTTTGTGTGTGCTTTGCTACATTTTTGTTCTCCTTCTATGTTTTGTCTTCCAGGACAGTCAATCAAAATGTTTATCCGAGGCCGGCCGATAACCATGTACATCCCCTCTAGCATCCAGAACTATGAAGACCTGAAGATGGAGCCGCCGTCAGAGAGACTGGAGCTGGACTGGGTGTATCCTTCCAGACTGCCACAGCAGTGTTCAGAGACTGCTGATTTGATTGTGTGGTCATGAGCTGATAGTGCCGCAGTTTTCATTGCTGGTTGAGCCGTTCCTTTAACCAATGAAAGGGACTGATTGTTAACATGAATGTGACCTTGACCCTGTTATGTCAGCTATGGTTACCGGGGACGGGACTGCAGGGACAACCTGTACTTTCTTCCCACGGGCGAGGCAGTCTACTTCATTGCCTGTGTCATTGTGCTTTACCACATCAAAAACCGCACACAGCGCCACTATCACAAACACACAGACTGTGTCCGATGGTCAGTATTAACATTTACTGCATATCAACTGTGCTGATAAATAAGATCAAGTGAAGCTTAACTGTGTCATTTTTAAAACGTGTCCAACTACCATCTGTTTTTAAGGCCCTTTGTATTTATACAGTGTGAGAGTTTTGGACTAGTGAATGAAAAGAGCTGGGTGGTGTATGCCAGATTTTACTAGTGCATATAAAATATGGGTTCTCTCCAACTTTTGGAGCCAAGAAGCACAGAATCTGGGGACATTTAGTAAAACCTTTGTCTTGTACACCTCTCTAGTATCATTGCTTTGCTATGACTGTATAGAAAAATAAAAGTATTGACGGCAGATTATTTGAGGCCAAATATTAAAGATGCAAAACCTATTAACACAATGGATTAGAAGAATATGTATAGCATGACATGGGTTGCATGTAGTGACAAATCCACAGAGGATTATCACCAACTGTGCGGTTCCCCTCTGTTTTACAGAGTTTTGAGCCTTTTTTACGTCACTGTTTTGGTTATACATCTCACAACTTTGCTGTTTCAGTCTCCTGGCTTTCTATTTTCAGCTAAAAAGCTCTGATCTGACACGCCAAACAGCAGACAGACACAGTTCGCAGCTAGTGAAAATAGTGGAGCATTTAGCAAATAAAGAGGCAGATATTTTCCTCAGGATCTGTGGAGATGAAAATAGAACTAGGAATATGAATATTTGACTTCATCAGATAGATACAAACATGACTAGAAATGCTAAACTTGATTTATGTTTGCTGGATTTGTAAAAGGCAACCATTTACTTACACATTTACCATTTATAGATGATAATCTGTCAGATCTTGTGTTTCACTGTCCCCATGTGGCCAGAAAAAATAAATAAATGCAGCTTTAAATATTATGACCTTGCTAAGTTTATTTAAATTTTTGAAAAGACTTTTGCTTACGTGAAATTGAGGAACTGGGTATAAAAATGGCTGCAGCTCATACAAAGTTTTACTGAGTGTCAGCGTTTAACATAGTTAATCCAGTGTGCTGGAGCCAAAATACAACCCTTCTTTGTTATTTCATGTAAATATTTTTGTTTGTTCTGCAGTCTTACCCTCCATCCTGACAAAGTGCGAGTGGCATCTGGGCAGTCAGCAGGAGTGGACAAAGATGGCAAGGTGACTGCTGCTGTGATACTTTGGCTCTTGATAGACTTTTGGAAACGTCTTTAAATGCTATATACTATGTTTCTGTGCACTTATCCATAATGTTAATGCATATCATAGTAATGACTCCTAACCCTCATGGAGACGTGCACTATTTTGCCTCATTTTGAATCGAATGCATATAACAAGTCACTAAAACATCTAAAGTTTTTGAATTTTGGCTCAAAATACCAGGGAGGGGCAACTATAACTAGGATGCTGAGGAAAAATGTAAAACTTTGTGTGTGTGTGTGTGTGTGTGTGTTAGCCCCTGCAGGCTTGTGTTTATATCTGGGACTCCACCACCCTGGTCACGCTGCAGCAGATCGGCCTGGGAATCTTTCAGAGGGGAGTGGGATCAGTTGCGTTTTCTTTTGCTGTGAGTTGATGGCAATAGAGCATACTGTAAATTCTCAAATATTCATGAGTTACCTCAACTGCAGTTTAATTTGCAGTAGATTAATATCAATATAAAACTGCAAAACAGAATACATGCAAAAGAATTAGTTATAAAAACTGCTTGTGCTTGGAAGACAAAGTAGGAGCAGCTGAATGGTGAATATGACAGGACTGTTGCCATACTGATGGAATTAATTCAGTGTAAATGGGACAGGAAACTGAATCCAACAAAACCTTTTGACTGGCCTTTATTTGTTCTGGATGTTGTTTTCAGGACTCTGGAGCATTCCTGTGTGTGATTGATGACTCTAATGAACACATGCTGTCAGTATGGGACTGCAACAAGGGAGCCAAGCATGCAGAGGTCAAGGTAAAGAAAATTATGAACACTCCTTTACTTCGGAATTGACTGAGTGATACTTGTATGCACATGCATGGCTTTACTGAAAACAGTAGCTGCTATAGCTAATTGTGCATAACTTCACTAGTCCCACTTGGCCAAAACGTAAATAAATACAAGCTCACACAAAATGAGGCTCAGGTTGTTATGCACTCAGTTCTTTAGAACCACTGTTATTAAGTATGTAAAAATGAAAATAGGGAAGTTGACAGTGGTAAATAGGCAATTTCTTGTAAAGATGTTCAACATCCCAACTTATTAAAGATATTTAATAAGCTTGTTATGGAATACTGCACACAGTTAAAATATATCAAACATCTGATCTCACTCGGAGGTAACAAACAACTCCATTTTCCAAAAAGCTATTGCAGTTCTGACTGTTTTGGGGTGACATGTTTTTACAATGTGAGCATGCTTTACATCACCTGACGTTTATGAACTACAGCGCTGCATAATCCCATACAGAATCAGTGAAATCCTTCATCTGAAGTCGAAGTGTGTGAATAGCCAGGCTGCTGTAATGTGAACCCAGTGACAGGTATGCTGTTCTCCAGCTAAATGCCCAGTGACTGCATGCTGAATGTGTAGATGTTTTTTTTATAAAGGAAGCCTGTTGGGAGGAAGATGGTAGTGCTGTGTCTGCTGTGCTTTTCTGGGCTTTTATCCCAAAATGCCATAACTTCCCTGAGAGCAATTTTAGCAAGGCTGTCATGGCAACAGTGTAAATATTTTATACAGTGAAATTGTCTGGCTCTGTGTGCACGTTTGTGTGAATGTTCTCTTATGCAGCAGTAAGAATGTATAGGTGGGTGTTTGAATCTGCATATCATCTCAAGTCAAGCATTTAGTGCAAAAGCCTATGTTTCAAATAGCATGCAGTCCAGTGTGCAGGTTCAGTGTGTAAAGGTAGCTCAGTGCTGGACAGGCCAACACTGACCCACACTGTATAAACACCAGTTCATCCAACAGGAACCAGATAATTACACCCCTCCCCTCTCCACAGCAGTGGGATAGTCCGTATGCCACTTTACAGCATGGCTGTGAATGGAGCCTTCTATGTAAAAATGATGCTTCTGTACATACTGTATACAGTACTTTAGACCTGCCACTGGGACTGTGCTTACATTTTGTGCCTCTGTGTCTGGTGGCAATATTCATAGTTCTCTTATTTATTTAGAAAAGATAAACAACTTTAATTTAAGGCTAGATTAATACATTTTTTTGGAATTTGGGGGCAACAGAACAGAACAGATACAAAGACAGTATTTCACTGAGGCAGTCTCTAAAGGACCTCACCCGCTGGCGGCGTGTGACGCACGTCAGAGCACCGACATTACTGTGTGGCATGTGTTACTTTCAACACATGCCCACACAACAGTGGCAAAGTGACACGCATCGCCATGTCAGGATATGCTATAGTCCTATTTGCCCATTGTGGACATGCGTCAAAAGAATGAAATACTGAAATACTCACCCATTTCGCTGGTCTGGCACTGAATTTGCACTGCTCCTGCTGCGCGTTATGGGGCATAGCACAATGCTCCCAGTGTGTGTTGCTCTTAATTGTGTCTGTCTACTCTTTGGTGCTGAGCATGTGGTGTACAGTGGGTTGATCCCAGCTTTATCACTGAAGCAGCTGCTGTTGAAAACAAGACTGACAAAAACAATAAGCTAAAAGATGCAGGCAGTCATTTTATCTGTTGTTCATAGAATATATTGATTAGTAGAGTTTTAAAAAAAAGATGCAAAAGGTGCATTTCAAAGCTCCTTAACTCGCCTGTCTTCTTTTATTACAAGTTTCTTCAGCTGTTGTTTCTCAACATAATTGTAGTTGCAAACTGTTTCAAAATGTGGAAGGATCAAAATGATATTTTAATGTTTTTTTTTTATTTTGACATATTTGTCTAACAACTTGGACCTTGCATCCTGAGTTTTTAATTCAGATTTTCACCTGAAAGAAGATGGCTGATGCTACTACTGTGTTGAAAAAGGTCCTCAGGAGTGTCCCCTGCACTCCAAACAACCTTAGTCTCCTCAGCAGGTAGAGCCTGCTCCGACCTTTCTTGCACAGTGCATCAGTGTTGTTTCACCGGTCCAACATATAGTTGAGGTGAACACCCACGTGCTTACAGTGTAAGAGTCCTCTCTCTCAGTGTCTGTTCACTGGTGTCGGAGGGGAGGGGGTGTCTGCACCTGCAGAAATCCACCAGCAGCTGTTTGGTCTTCCCTGCATTGATCTGGAGGTTGTTCCACAGGCTTCAGTTCACAGAGCCTTGGATCAGTTTTCCTTACTCCCTGTCAAGCTCATCTGTGATGAGGCCAATGATTGCAGACAACTTTTGCAGGTGACAATTTGTTGAGCTGTATATGAAGTTGGCAGTGTACAGGGTGAAGAGGAAGGGTGCCAAGATGGTCCCCTGTGGGGCCCTTGTGCTGCACAAAACCATGTCAGACACACAGTCCCGTGCTCTCACATACTGTGGTCGATTTGTTAGGTGGTCCAGAATCATTTAGATAAATGGAGGTCCACCCCATGTGTTCCAACTTGTCCTTCAGTGTGTTATGGTGTTAAAGGCACTGGAGAAATCAAAGAACATGATTGTCACAGTCTTCCCAGGCTTCCCCAGGTGAGAGAGAGCTCTGTGTAAGACGTACATGATGTACTCTGATGCCATGCTGCTAGGTAAACTTAAGCAGGATATCACACAGTTCTTCCTGCACAGTTGTGTTGAAACAGTCCTTCAGAGCATCTTTAGTCTCCCCAGACCATTTCTTTACTGTGTGGGTGAACAGGGAAAACATGGGACAGAGACAGGACAAAGAATGAGACTGTGACAGTCTCTCTGGTCTGGATTCAGCAAAGTGCTGGAAGCAGTCCACTGGTATATTGCTTCAAGCCTGCTACATAGTGTTGTTCTGTTACTGTAGGCTGTTCCTGTCCCACCTGATTTCACAGCTCAGTTAGTAAGCCTGCTACACAGTGTTGTTCTGTTACTGTAGGCTGTTCCTGTCCCACCTGATTTCACAGCTCAGTTAGTGCAAGGGTATCATATTTTTTGCCAACATTTGAATTCTATTAGAGGTCTTTATGTTCCATGGGCTTGCTATTAGAGGTCTATATGTGCCATGGGCTTGCAGTAACTATATTAACTATAACTGTGCTGAACAGTTGTTTTCTTGTATGTTGTTGTGTTTTTAGAGTACCAACGAGGCTGTGTTTGCTGTGGAGTTTAACCCCAGTGACAGCACCAATATCATCACCTGTGGGAAATCCCATGTCTACTTCTGGACGCTCAGTGCAGGGCAGTTCACCAAGAAACAAGGCATCTTTGGAGTAAGATTCACCAGAGTATACTTGACAATATTGTGCACCAGTTTTCATTGCCTTTAAAATCAGCTCTGTTTCCTTATTGTCACTGTGTGAGTGTGTACAACAAAAGGACGTTTGCAGCTTCCTCAGTTTGATGTCAGAAGGGAAAGTAAGGGGCATAAACAGACAGAGCTGAAAACTAGGATCAGCCTAATTGATTCTGAATAGTGCTGTACAAACACAGTTACAATCAAACTTTGATTTGAACGCTTATAGCTTCAGAAAACAAAAGGTGAACTGTGTGACCAGACACAGACTAATCTGAATAAAATACTGAACACCAGTCTGATTCTTTTCTTTTCAGAAATACAAGAAGCCTAAGTTTATCCAGTGCTTTGTGTTCAGTCTGACTGGAGATGTTCTGACGGGAGACTCTGAAGGTAACATCCTGACGTGGGGAAAATCAGCTGCAGATATCAAAACTCTGGGTAAAGGAGCCAAAGGTTAGTTTATATACTTCATTATGAGGCATACATTCATGTGGACATATCAGGATAAATGTTTTATCAGCTTGAAAAACAAAACGGGATGAAAAGCTCAAATTTGAAGCTGGAAATTGAGGAACTGATCTTTGAACTCTGAAAATAATGTCATCAAATGTAAATGTTAGACAATGTGGTCTTATGTGTCAAACCAGTGATTCTCAAGAAGCGGCTGGAGCGTACCTCCTGAGGCCATTGTGTGGAAGGCTGGTGTCGTGAAAAAGGGGAATGCAGGGACACCACCATTATAAGATATGGAGTACTCTAGCACACACACAGATTCTTGGCAGGCAGAACTTCGCATAACGCTGGTCCTTGAGAGTAACTGTAGGAATGATCCACTCCTGAGTGTGTGTTATCACATTAGATTACACATTCAGTCACACACTGCAGTGGTTGGAGCACCCCTCCAGCAGCTGCTCTGTCATCAGAACCCATACCAGCCTTCAACACAATGACCAGCTCATGAGCCACGATACCCTGGACGTGTCCCGATCATGCTGCAAGCATTAGTGACAGCAACTAAAGTCTGTGTGTGCGCTGCTGTCACTCACTAAAAGCTGTGCTGGCTCCCACTGGGGAGTAGAAGTGATATGATTCTTTATAGAGTGTGTGTTAAATTATTAGATGGTTCTTCAGGCCATAAACTTGAAACTATAGTTTACTGCAGTTAGTTATGAGAAAATAGAGTATGTCATTATAATCACGTTTTAATGTGAAAAGTTCTCATAAAAACGAGAAAAGTTTCTTGTTACAATGATACTGAGAAAATCTTTTTTTCTCAGGGTGGCATTAATATGCCTTTGTATTATATACAGTGTATAAACTCATTTGACAGTTTATTAGGTATACGAGCAGCAGTCCTGCAGTGAATCCTACTTCGACTTATATAATTAAATAAGATTTCAGTTTTTGATTTGTAAGAAATTATAGAAACATGTTTTCACTTTATTATCATGGGTTATTGAGTGTAGAGTGATGGTTAAAATTGGCAACTTTGTCAATTTAAAATTAAGTCTGCAGCACAGTAGTGTGCAAAAAGTGGAAGCATCTGATTACTTCGAGGCCACTGTTGTGTGTTTGTGTGTGTGTTGATGCCATGACACCTCCCTGTTGATGCCATGCGCCTCTGTCAGAATAAGGTTTCCAGATGGACAGACCTTTTGACCCTCATTTGTGTCTATACACACTCCTAAATCAGTCTTCTGCTTGCCATAGAGACCTTTCAGATCATGCGTCAGACCAGAGCCCACGAAGGCAGCGTGTTCACCCTGTGCACCCTACAGGGTGGCGCTCTGCTCAGCGGAGGAGGGAAAGACCGCAAGATAATTCGCTGGAGCGCTGACCTGGCACCTGAGAGAGAGTGTGAGGTGAACCACAAGTGTGTGTGTGTGTGTGTGTGTGTGTGTGTGTGTGTGTGTGTGTGTGTGTGTGTGATGCTGGTTGACAGGTCTGTGAAATGACATTCAAATAAAAAGAAGGGCTTGTGGGTTATTTCTCCAGATTCCAGAAAAGTTTGGGGCAGTGCGCACCATTGCTGATGTGGACGGGGAGGAACTATTAGTTGGTACGACCCGTAATGCCATCCTCAGAGGCACCTTCTCAGACGGCTTTGTGGCCATTGTGCAGGTATGTCAGTAATGTAGTTGTACCTTAGCATTGGCCTGTTTTTGTATACTAACAGTTTTGCACACCATCAGTCAAAAACCTCGACACACTTTCTCACTGAATTGAATGGGAAAACGTTTTCCATCTTGACATTAGTAGCTACAATTTCGGGCTGCCTGTGGCGTGAGTAGTTTTTCACACAACAACAGGTCACAGAAAAGGAGTTGTTATCTTGCTGAGGAGTTGGATGGCTGCCTGTGGTTTCTCCTCACTGGTCAGTACTCCCTGATAGATACAAAATTACTAACCTCTGTGACAGATGCATTGAGACAGTTTCAGTATAAAAGCCACCCTGTGTTTGGTCAGTAGAATACTTTCAGTGTAGAACAGCAACAGTAGGAAATAAATAAATAACACGAAATACCAAACACTCTGGATTACATGCATGGCTTGTTTCCTGGGGATGCCTTGTGTTTGTGTAGGCAGTTTGAATCCTTGTGTGGGAATGGTGGACTCTGCCACTAACAACATGACTGTATACAAAATACTAACAAAATGACTGTATAGAGAGAGTATTGCTGATTGTAAATACACCAAAACATTGAAAGTACTGTCCATCAAGTATCAAAAACGATGGGGGTCAGATGGGCCCACAGCTCATTTATGTCCAGCGCTCCTCTAACAGGTTAATCTGGGCCCTGACCCTCTTGGATCCATGTTTGTCCAGTCTGTTTAGACCCAGCGGATTGCTGACAACAGCTTGCATTGGAATGCATTTTAGGAGTGTCTCCAGTGATGACTCCTGGAATTCAGCCTTCTGCTCAAATCTGAGTTTCATCTGTGGGAAAGAAACAAGTCTAAAGCCCTGCCACAGATGCTGCAGTGATCATTAAAGTGCACAAATGATGGAATATTGAGAAACATTTGGATCATTTTTTATAGTCTTGCTAACAGTAGACTGTAAACTTTGCCCTGAGAGTGGTGCAGGAGGAAACAGCATGAGTTTGTTCAAATTAAAGGGTTCGCAGAGGGTGATTAAAACCAGTGGGACTGTTAAGCCTATGAATGGCCACAGCAGTATTGGAAGTCTGGCCATTAGTTTTTGAGATCTGCTTGTCATAAGCCAAATAGGTTCAGTGGAAACATTTGCAGTGTTAGACAAAACAATGTCATCTGAGTCACTAGGAATCATCTTGTGGAGGGTTTGAATTTTCATGCTAAATTTCATGGCAGTCTCCCCAGAAGCTCTCGCAGTATTGCTTCTTCTGTACTGTAGACAGAAATGTGAAAACATGACATTGCTATGCTTAAAAGGGCGTCTTGAAACGTCTTGTTTATTGAACAGTATTTTTTTATTCTTCTCATTTCATATATAAGGTTTTTTTCTCTAATTACAACACATTACAGTCATACATACATACATTCATTTTTTTATTGCTCTGCACCGCTCTGTTGATCCCACTTCCCTATGCCAGGAAAGGGTTAAACGTCATATGAAGAATATTACAAAATATTGTTAACTGGGCAGAATTGGTGTTTATCTAAGTAGCATTTAGCACTTCATTTGTATGTATGTATGTATGTCTCTCAGGGTCATGTAGACGAGATGTGGGGGCTGGCTACACACCCCTCTCAGAACATCTTCATCACTTGTGGTCACGACAGGCAGGTGTGTTTGTGGAATACAGAGGAACACAAGTTGGACTGGTGTATCACCCTGGAGGTAGGACACAGTGTTATTCAGCTTCCTTTATGCATAATTAAGATATGAAAGGTGAACCCTCACCCCAGTCTCAGGTCAGGTGCAACTCTGGAACAGGTTTTCTTCAAGGATCTCTGTGTATTTGGTTGTTGCCATCATGCTTCATTATAGGGAAGGTATAAATCAGCTGATGAGCAGTGCCTGGTGTTCACCAGACATAGTGCTTGGAGTTCATTTCCGTATGTTCTTTTGTAAATGAGAGATTTTTGATTTTTAATACATTTGAAAAGATTATTATTTGCTATTATTATTGAGTTTAGATTGATGGGCATAAAGTTTACAACACAAAGTGCGCAAAAAGCTTGTAGCAAGTATAGAAAACCAAAGGCTACAGGTAAGCATGACAAGGGAACTTTTAATTTTAACACTTTTCAGGAAGAATGGAGCATTGTTGTATTGAATTGTAAGGGTACAAACACTTTTAGCCATGTCTGTATTATTAATAGCCCTGTGTTTCTCTGACAGGAGTATGGATTGTGTGCTGGTTTCTGCCCAAATGAATCAGTGGTTTCAGTTGGCCTCAACACAGGAAGGTAATACATCACAAAGACCAGCAATATTACACATAAGGCAATCTAAGAGCTGAAAATAATTAAATGATGCACTGAAAAACAAGCTAAAATTTAGAATTATGCATATGTTTACATGGCACATGCATGCAGCATATAATATTGGAAATATTTTCAAGGAATAGTTCATATCATTATATTAATTTTATGCTTGTATGTTAGGTACAGCTTTTCAGCTGATTCAGCATGTTGAATCGGGTTGGACCCTGTCTGTGAGAGAGACCACTATGATTGGCTGTTCAGTTTAGTGAATCATCACTTTCTTCTTCCACAACCAAAAGGCTAACTTCTTATTAGACATGTTCTCAATTAGAAGCAGCTATAAACCATCTGTGATGAGCAAGAGCAGCTGCATCTTCAGTTATAGAGAAAGCAGTCTCTTATAAGCACTGTTGTTTCCCTTGTGGCTTAGTCCTGGTTGACCTGGAAGTCATTCCAGTTGACCAAGGACATTCCAAGTCTTTTATATCAGCTCTGAGGGTAAGGGGTGAGGAGGACATAGGAATAATCATATAAAAGACTTTGGATGTACCCATAGTATATCTGCAGTCCTTGGTCTTCCTCTTTTGCTTTATGTGTCTCATCTACAGAGTACTGCCACCTGCTGGTATGGAAAGTTATTTCCTCTCATGCAGGTGCAGAATGTACATGCTAGTTGGCTGTTGCCTGTAGTCTGTGTAGTAACAAGTACTGTACCTCTTGTTGGCCCAGCCGATGGCGACGTGAGGCTTCAGTCTAGCCTTTGTCATGGCTGGTTTGGTGTGTCTCTACCCTAAAAAAACAGGAATAATAACAGGAATAACAGCAAATGTATTCCAGTAGTTTCACCAGAAAGACACTCATAGTGTTGCACTCAATTGTTCACATAAAAGTAACACAAATAGAGGCCAAAAGATGCTAAAAAGTTATATAGAGCAGAGCAGAACTGCTGAGTTGGTAAAACATTGTTTATAGGAATTTTTCACATTACACGTTTGATTAATTATTTGTATAAAAATAGCAATGAGCTCAGCTTTAACATGCAGCCGTGAGGTTGATATCAATTCTACCTTAAATAAACTTTACAGTGACCAATAAGCTTCCTGCTGTCCAGCCTGTTATAACCACTGAAGAATGTCTACCTGTCTGCATCTGTCTCTGGTGAACCCCTTTAATCCCCATGACACTAACAGGTGGGTGGTGCTTGACCTGCTGACCAGAGAGATGGTCTCAGAGTCCATTGATGGGAATGAGCAGCTGTCTGTCATGAGATACTCACCAGGTCAGTGTACTCTGCCAGATCTCTATTATGTGACATCTTTCAGTAACATAACTGTTACTGAGCTAACAGGTATGAGAAAATACTGTATATGTCATAGTGTGATTGAGGTTGTGTTAATAGCATTATATTTACCTGTGGTTTGCTTTTGATGAGTGTTTCACACATGCATTTTGAGATAGTACTGCTTTTCTATAAAAAAGAAGCTTGTTAGCTCTAGAAACAGGTAGTAAATGGACATCTAATTAAGATTTTTTGTAATGTTAGTTCTGTATATAGTGTGTATGAATCTTTTTGTATTACTATTATTATTTTTGGACACTTTATACCTTTAACATTTTATACCAATAGTAGTGAGATGACAGGAAGCAAGGGAGAGAGACAGCTGGGTTCAAACTGGGGATGTTACATTTTATAGTTGGCACTTCAAAAACTAAACCATGGAAAAATGACGCCCAAAAAGATTTTTGGAAGAAGGATTAACTGACAAATACCCAAGCCGCTAAGCAGTACACACTGGGTGGTTGTGATCAGGCCATTATTTGCATAAAAGCAGAGGTTAGCGAACACTGACCAAACCTTATCTATAATCTAACATTTAAGGACAGGCCAGCTAAAACATCAACCTAAACTGCAATTCAATTCACTTTTAGTGCTTATTGAAAAAGGCATGGAGTCAAAGAGAAAGATACAGTGGAAATCCCCTTTAATTGTGTGAATGGCCTCTTGTGTTTACAGATGGCAGCTTCTTAGCTGTTGGCTCTCACGACAACTTCATCTACATTTACAGTGTGACAGAGAATGGGCGCCGCTACACCCGCTTCGGGAGATGTAATGTGAGTTAATTATCAAATGTCTATTTCTAAATATTCCTGCTTGCTCCTGAGCTTTTCTCTTAATCCACTTTGATTTCTTGTGTGTTTTCTCTATCACTGCCAGTGTTAGCTACTCAGTTTTTTCAGGAATAGTGTAGAATGTCACCAGATTTAAAGGATGAATCTGGTGATATTCTGTTTTTCTTACAGTTAACAACTCCAGACCCAACCTAGTAATTAATGTCCTGGTTCCATGTGTCTAACACTGCTGGCTCAAATACTCACTAGTTCACTAAATTTGGATAAATCTGCTCTGAACAAAAGTACTACTTTGCCCTGTTTGAGTAATATTTCATTAAAAACTACAGTGACCAGCTGTTTAAAACGATATAAAAATGTAATTTAAAAAATCAACTATATTGGTAGGTGTTTTTAGAGATACCGCTCGGACTTAACTTGGCATGTACCTATATCTTTAAAAATCCAACTCATCTGAGCCCAGCTGGCACTGCCAAACCTGAGACCCTTCACAGTCCAAGACCCAAGGACGATGCCACTCCTTCCCCCTGACCATGGTGTATATAGGACACTCATGAGGACAGATGATTAGCAAATGTCCGAAAGGGTCTTTTTTGGATGTTTTATTTCAGATTTTCATTTTAAAGCAGACAATCAGACACAAAGGGTGTCATTTAGCAGTCTAACAAGAGCAAATGATGCAACAGGGAACATCTTGACAACAATAACAACAAAACCCCACCCTACAGTACCTACCAACACAATATTAGGGTAAAGGGAAATAAAAAGTAAGAAACACTAAACTGTGTATATGTGACATGATGTTCACTTATCATGAATGACAGTGATAAATAGCTTTATGTCATTTTTGATAGTGGTTTCAGCAACATTCCCATCTACACAGGTCCATGTGCATGTTCAAGCCCCTCAGACTGGATCCAGTCTTCTTCTCTAATTCAAAATACTTTGCCAGGGTCCGTATTTATCAAGCATCTGAGAATCACTCCCAGAAATGACACTGAAAGCTAACGTAAGCCTAAAAAAACTCCTACCTCAGAGTAGGAGTTATTTATGAGGCGTCCTACTCTCACATTCGGCAAAGAGAAATCCCACCCCTAAGAACGAGTGTGATGTCACTGTTTTACGACACTCAGAGCAACATTATACTGAAGTGTTGGGTTTTTCTGACTGTTGAGGTTTGTAGTTATAGACAGCGAGATACGGAAATCCCAATATCAGTGCCACTTGTCAGGTGTGTAGACAAGAAGCAGGTAACAGAAAATAACATGTTCATTATATGCTGTAGTAATGTGCTTTATATCAGTTCTCTTTCTAAATCTGCTAAATCCAGAAAATCAAGTCAAGTCAAGAATCTTTATTGTCATTATGCATAGCACAACAAAATTTCTTCCGGCAGCTTACGGCTTAAAAGACACATTATTTACATAAATAACACAAAAATTGTACAAGTCAATATAAAAATATGAACAAATAAAAAGGGATGTATGGGACCTAATAAAAAGGTCCCATGGAGACAGCATGGGTTCTTCCTTTGGTTGGAGCAGATGAATCTTGCACAGGATCTGTCATAAATATACTCAGTTTATGGCCAAACTGTATCTTTTCCTGAGCTCAGTGTCATTAAGTTGAAGTAAAACATCTCTCCTTGTGCTGAGTCTGTGCATTTAGCTCTGTCTGAACGCTACTTCCTGTCAGCTCCTCGCCAGTCAGGACACCTCTGGAGCTCTTTTTGGTGGAGATAGGAATGATTTCCTAACTTAGGAATGCTGATAAAAAGCTCTTACTTCTGTCTTTTCATAGGATTTACTGACTACAAGGAAAATATCGACTAACAATAAACATATATTTGAACACAGCTGAGCCCTTGAGCATTTGGTGACACTGCTTCTGTTTATCTGTCTAATCAGGGTCACTCCAGCTTCATAACTCACCTGGATTGGTCCAAGGATGGGAAGTACATTATGTCTAATTCAGGCGACTATGAGATCCTTTACTGTAAGTGAACACTGATGATGTGAACACTGTTTTGAAATCCACAGACAACATGAAAGTCTGTTCTGACTGTGACTTTGTTTTCCCAGGGGACATTGCAGCAGGGTGTAAACTGCTGAGGAATCGCTTTGAGAGCAAAGACAGAGAATGGGCTTCCTATACCTGTGTGTTGGGCTTCCATGTCATGGGTGAGAGACGTCAAGCACAATGTTTCTATAAATTCATATGTTGATGTATTTTGTAAGATGTTATTTTCAGGTCATATTCTCATTAAGTGAACAAGATGACAACTGTGTTGCTGTGGTGTTCCAGGTGTGTGGTTAGAGGGCTCAGACGGAACAGACATCAACGCTCTGTGTCGCTCTCACAGTGAGAAGCTGGTGGCAGTGGCTGATGACTTCTGTAAAGTCCACCTCTTCCAGTACCCCTGTCCTAAACCAAAGGTAAAGCTCACATGGATCAGCTTTTTCTTCAGTTCAGTTTTCTTTCCTTTGATAGGTCAACCTTTACTTTGGCAGCCTTAACATGTACAGTAAATATTGCTCTTTAACTACTTCCATAACATAAAGATGAAAAGCCAGCTTAGGGCTGACACTTGTAAACCAGACTGGGTTAAACTAGAATTACCGCCTCACAGTTGTATACCACCACCAACTGGTCAAGTTCACGGGATTCGGACAATGTGACCTTGACATTTGACCAGCAAAAACTGAGTGTGAGGCTCACTCAGATAAATAAATTTAAAAAAAATCACTCAAAAACATGAGAAGCACTGCTGCCAGGCTGTTCAGTGAGTCTGGGTCACACAAGGCTTTGACAGCATTTGTCCACATTAGGATACGTTATGGAGCACATTTCACCACCAACAACAACAAAAAAAATGAGAATAGAATTACATACTATAGCTTTAATCTGTTATTCTGTTATTTAGGACGTTTGACTGACTACAGTAATAGATAACACTATGCATTGTTAAAGGTTTTGCCACAAACTCAACTGACCGGCTTCTCTCCTGTATGAGTTCACATAAGTCGAATAACTGTGTATGAACTATGCATGAGCTTCTAACTTCTAATTGAAGCTGTGTGTGACCTTTTTTGCTATTTTCACCCTCAATACACCAGACAGTGACATCATCTGGCAAAGGCGCTGCATTGACATCAATGCCGACATGCTGGTGGTAGAATTGGTGTATGAGTTCACATAAGTCGAATAACTGTGTATGAACTATGCATGAGCTTCTAACTTCTAATTGAAGCTGTGTGTGACCTTTTTTGCTATTTTCACCCTCAATACACCAGACAGTGACATCATCTGGCAAAGGCGCTGCATTGACATCAATGCCGACATGCTGGTGGTAGAATTGGTGCTACGTTAGCAGCATGGCTAACCAAAACACAATAGAAACTCAGGAGCTGGAAACATGAATGAAGCCACTCACGTCGACTGGTCACAATGTGGCCATATCGTACACACCTATGACACATCCCCTCCAGTCCCTCACTCATAGACTGAATGCCCGCTATTGTGAACGTATGGTCACATTCTGTCATACTGGCCTGGTTTTGTTATGTACTGATATCCCAAGACAGCCTTTACTTTGACAAGAAATATTGCCATGATTTAATATCGTGAGATCTTATGACATGAGATCTTGTCACACCGCTGTTGTCTGTGTGTCTGTAATGCAAATGGTAATGCAAATGCATATGTCTGCTCAAAACAAATTTCCATCACCAGGACAAATAACGATTATCTGTATAGTTGTTCATTTTTTCTCAGCCTTACAGAGCAAAGCACAGGTATATTTGCTGGTAGCCTCAATGATCTCATTTTTTACACTGAGATGAGTGACAGCTACACATCTACACAGCACTGTGGTAGTTTGCGTCCATTGAGGTTGATACTTGGCTTCCAACATATTTATCCTCTTCTGTAAAGGCAGATCTGCAAGTCTGATCCAGTGTGGACTCTGTTTCTTTTCTCACCAGGCACCAAGCCATAAATATGACGGCCACGGCAGCCATGTCACCAACGTCTGCTTCACCCACAATGACTCCCATCTGCTCTCCATGGGTGGGAAGGACACCTGCATCCTTCAGTGGAAAGTGATCAGAGGTGGGGCGGGCCACAGCAGGGAGAGACCGGCCTCAGTCTCATCCACCTCCACCAGCTCTCCAGAACCTGCCACCAGCTAGGAAGCAGAAATGGAAATGTTTACACAGACAGAGAGTGGACAGCAGCCATAGTTACTGTCTCAGTTTGGCCTCTGTGGTGCCACTGCTGCATCAGTGTTTTACAGATTATGCTGAGGAATCCTCATCAGGAGGAACCTCCATGTTAATTTTACCTTGACACACCTCCATAATCTTGTAAACTCTTGTGAAACTGTACAGTGATCATCTGTTGAAGTGGTGGCGAAGGTCATTAGAAGTGGACATGTATGTTTGCTGGTATAGAACATGACTTGACAGTTGTGGTGACAAACTTTTTTTCAGTGAACATTCACTATTCCTGAACCTTTAGTCCATCTTGCTTACCTAATTTTACCATAATGCTGCATTGTGGCCTATGCCATTGTCCCTCTAAAAACATTTTGATAATGTTTTTAGATAATTGTAGCTGTTTTTATGATTCCATTAGACTGTGACAAACCTATTCCAGTGAAATCAACTCTCAGCATGCCTGACTAATAACAATAGATCAGTAAACTTGAACATGATTACTTAAATGTTATATATATATATATAAAAAAAATTTTTTTATATATATTTTTAAAAAACCCATTGGGAATACTGTGGTGATCTAACTTTCAAGCTCCCAATAAATAACTAAAGACTGGAAAGTGTACTGTGTGTGAGGTGTCACTAGTGGGCAGTGCTGCTCTAGGAAACGTGCTGTGCTGTACGTTGAGGAAATGTTCCTAAACTACATGTCCCACACCAGAAAAGCTCATATAGAACCCCATTAGTACAGTATCCTGCACTTTGAACTCAGTTCAGTTGATGAAACTTAGGTACAAACTCTATTGACAAATCTATTTTCTTAGTATTTGATAACAGAAGATACCAATTCACTTTATCTTCCCTCACTCCACTTTCATCTAAGATGGTATCTTCCAGCTTCTGACTGAACACACCTGAGCCAGGTAATCAGCAGCAGGTCAGGCAGGGATAGTTGGAAAACAAGCGGGATAGTGGCCCTCGAGGACTGGAATTGGCCACACCTGCGTCTAGGTCATATTTTGTAAGTCAATCTAAGATATCTGGTCATAATATTGAGATAATAAATCAAAATAAAATTAGGTAATAAGTTTAGTTTTTGAGTTTGCACATTCTCCCTGTGCCTATGTGGGTTCTCTACAGGTACTCCGGCTTCCAACTACAGTCCAAAGACATGCAGCTTAGGTTGCTGAGGTCCAAGTGTCAACCCTGGTGATCTGTCCAGGGTGTACTCCACCTCTCACCCCATGGCTCCAGCCCCCACCCCCACCCTGTTTAGGATGAGTGTTATAGATAATGGAAGGATGTTTAATTTTTAAATTAGAAGTAAAATTATAATATGTCAAAACAACACTTATAATTTTGTCTCAGCATCTGGTAATTTTAACTCTAAAGGGCATAACTGACTTACACTCATAGTAATTTAGTATCTCATAATTCTGACTTTACAGTACCATGCCTATGTTTATTTTGTTAGCCCCATTTCATCATTCTCTGTATTCTCTGTTTCTTTCTGTCTTTGGGTTTCTGTATGTCAGATCTTACTTACATTTACTCAAATGACAGTCCGAGACAATCTGAGAGTTTATAGACATATACCTGACTACAGGTCAAAAATAGACATTGCTTCATTTTAAAAGATCACCAAAAATGGACCAGCTCTAAATAATCATTATCCCTGCTAGTAACCATGTCAAACTCCTCTGTTAAATTTACAATATTAAAACGTATAGCTTATTATGTAGCTATTGTGATAATAGAGTTTCCTTGGCGCCATAGGATTTTATTTTAAAGAAGGCATGTTTCTGCTGGCACCGTGTATGTGTAAATTCCCAAGTTCCTGTTTTGTCTAGATCTGGCAGTAACTTTGCTTTATTTGCATGTGTGTAATGTGGGTAGGCCTACTGTATTTGCATGTAAATCTTAGTTCAGGTAAGAACTTTTTGTCCACTATAAAATATATACATTTGTGCGCATTTAGTCGTGTATGTGAGTGAGTTTGTAGCAAATATTATAAAAAGTTAATTGTGAAATAGCGGAGATTGTCGAAAATCACCGAAGATGACGATTAGCGCACGAACGAAGGGGGCCAGCGAGTGTGTGTTTTCTGTCTATGCGAGTGTGTTGAACTGAGCGGAGGTGAAGAAGAGGAGGATGAAGCTGGGAGCGGAGGATGGGAGGAAGAGTGGAGTAAGAGACAGGCTAGCTGTGTGTGAATGAGTGAGTGAGTGAATGAGGAAGAGGAGAGGAAGGTCGTCCGAGGGACCGAAAACAAAGGCTCGATTTTTTTGGGGAATAACCTCCGGAACATTAGTAACGGAAACTTTCAACTTTTACCCGCCACAGCTCGGCGTGTTGTGCCCGGAGCCGGCTTTGTTTCACGGCGGGGGTGTCTACGATAAATGAAGGAATAAAATAGATCACCATCGACCTTTTTTACCCAGGCGGGGAATGCTCTAGGACTATTTTTGATAAAGGTTACGAGAGAATGGCG